GGTGTGCAAAACGTCCACAGGATTGCCGCTTTGCGATCCTGTCCGAAATCTTGCTCCACAGATAACTGAAACCTGCTAGCACAGGGCCCCCCTCTTCTTATCCTCAAAAAATGCAGTCAATCGTGTCATTTTATTTCGTACAGGATTCCGGGAAATATGTTTTTGGAGTGGACGATACGCTGGTAGCACTGGAGATGGGCGCTGTCGAGATATTAATTTGTTGGGAAAATCTGGACATTACGCGGTACCAGCTGAAGAATCCAGCTTCTGGAGGTTGTGTTTTAGAGCTCCTTCAAGTCATTTTTGTCTTCGCCTTTGCATTTTAGGAGGAAAGTGGCAAATTTGTTTTCTGTTGTCTGACGTGGTTGAAATTACTTTGTTTGTAGACGAAAAGCTACTGTATTTGCGACCAGATCAAGAGACTAACAAGAAGCATTTTACGGACCCAGCTGTAAGTTATTCAGACAAAATTGCAATGCATTTATATGTCTTTGTTCATTGCTTCAACTAAACATTTTAGCAGTACAGCACATGCACGTGATTGTTAGTGTTCTGGAGACTTGGATGTCACAGGGACGAAATACTGCATAAGATCTGAAACGTGTACTTGGTCAGCACGGTGTTAACAGGATTTTTTTGCCAGCATCGTGTATTTAATTGCGAACAGGGCGTTTGTTCAGAAACTAATTGTGTGCGATGTAAGATCTCCCTGCGGGCCCGCTCTTTTGCTCGGTTTAAAGAGTGACTTATTCAGACGGGTACAGAATTAGAGTTGATTGATTCGACGCCATTGTTGGAGTGGCTAGCGAATAATTACAAATCATTTGGCGCAACTTTGGAAATCGTGACCGATCGCTCGCAGGAGGGCGCACAGTTCGTACGCGGTTTTGGCGGTATTGGAGGTAACTTTTTTCCTTATTTTCTGTTTGGAAGCATTGCTTTCGGGAACGATAAATGAAGGATTTTGTGGAATTATTGCTACATACCCTTAAATGTCATGTACCTAGTTCTTTTGCTGCTTCTGCTTTTTCACGATCTCGTGTTTTTTTTCTTTTTCAGGCCTTTTGCGCTATCGTGTGGACTTCCAGCTCAGCGGACTCAGTGAGGAAATTGAGGAGATCAACCTTGATGATTATTGACTATGTTCGGTGGCTAGTTGCGATCTTTTCTTCAACTTCCATTTTTCATGTAACTTTTTTAGCACTGT